AATTTTAAAAAGGTAATTGATAGAGCAGTATTAGTATACAATTTTAAAAATATCATAAGTTAGTATAATAATATATTTATTTTAAAATAATATTTACATATTTATAATATATATTAATAGTATCTTTTTATTAAAAATAATGAATCTTATTCATTATATAAATTATATTATAGTTTATATATGAAATATTATTATTTTAAAAATTTAAAATCTATTTTAAAAATATTAATTTTTTTTGGATATAAAAATGTTTTAATATTATTAAATAAATTAATTAATTACTTAGAATTTATATATAAATTATCATTATTTATTTATTGGTAGACCAGTAGATGATTCATATATAAAATTATCATTAAATTAATATATGTTATATAAATTAGTTATTAGTGTCTAAATAATACATATATATATATATATATATATATGTGTGTGTGTGTGTTTATATCTATAATACATAAATATATATTATGTTTGTTATTAAAAATAATGAAGGATATGTGTAATTATATAGTTATTATATTTTAAATGTGAAATATTTTTCTTTTAAGAAAATTATAATTTTTATTTTTATTTTTAAAATATAAATATATTTTTGATTATACAAATATTTTTTGATTATTAAACAAAAATAAATTAATTATATATAATTATTTTTTAAGTTTTATATATTTTAACTGCAAATGCTCTCTTCCAAACTTCAGATCAAAGAATTGAGCAAAGTGCATTTAAAGAGCATTAGCATTTGATAAATATTGATTAGATAATAAAAAGCATAATGGTTACACTAATGTTTTACCAATCAAACCATTGTTCTTCAATAGAACTATGTCTGCTCGGTCCACTCGGTCCATTCGCCAAAAGACTTTTCCTTACGAGCTCTCTTGCTTCGTCTAGGTTTGTCTACAACATCTTCTACTTCGATTACAGCAGTTCCAGAAGTACTTGCCTCGTTAACAGAGGTGACCGCATCTCTTTCTTCACGAGTGCGTTTTGGATGTTGTTTATCCTTACATGGAAATATGTCTTCAAAAAATGAAGCATTCCTTGATTCCATAATCGTGTTAACATGGATGTCTGGCACATCTGATTTGATTACCAGAAATCGATAAGCACTACTGTTGTGTGCATAACCAATGAATAGAGCATCCACGGTTTTAGGTCCAATTGAAACCTTTTTCGGAGGTGGCACTGCGACTTTTGCCAAACACCCCCACACTTTGAGGTATTTGTACGAAGGTGCATTACCTTTCCAAAGTTCATATGGCGTTTTCCCAGTTACCTTATGAGGTATTTTGTTGAGGATATAGTTTGTGGTGAGCAGCGCTTCCCCCCACAGATTCTGGGCTAGACCAGATTCCTGCAACATTGCATTCATCATTTCTTTTAGAGTTCGGTTCTTTCGTTCCGCCACTCCGTTTGATTCTGGTGAATAGGGAGCAGTCGTTTGATGGATAATGCCGTTTTCTTAACAGAAAGTATTGAAGGGTCCATCATATTCACCTCCTCTATCACTTTTGACTATTTTTATAGTCTTTTCCAGTTGTTTTTCAACTTCGAGTTTATACTCTTTGAATTTGTCCAAGACTTCATCTTTACTTCGTAACAAGTAAACATAACAATATCTTGTGCAATCGTCTATGAAAGTCACAAAGAACTTTTTACCGCCCCTGGTTTGTAAATACTTTAAATCACATAAATCTGTGTGTATTAAACCTAGAGGTTCGGTTGTTCGTTCAACATGAGGTGATGGTGTTTTCGTGAGTTTTGCTTGGACACAAACTTCACATTTGTCTTTGTTTATTTTGGTCTTTGGGATCATGTTCATATTCATTAGTCTTTGTACAGACTTGTAATTTACATGTCCCAATCTTTCATGCCAAATATTAGAAGACTCAACAACATAAGCAACTGGATTTTTATTCATTGAAACATTGGAATCAGGTACATCATTTTTTCGAATGACTGTCATTACAGACATCTTGACAAGTCCATTCTTAACAAAACCTTTTCCTATAAAAACACCACTCTTCCTAAGGATCAGCTGGTCCGATTCAAAGTTGATTCCAAAACCATGCTTACTCATAAGAGATCCAGAAATTAGATTCTTCTTCATGTTTGGAACATGTTTCACGTTGGTCAGAGTAACCTCCCTTCCTGACGTCATCTTCAACACAACTTTTCCAGTACCTTCAATCTTGGATTGGGAGATATTTCCCATCTTCACCTGATCATCAGTTTTGGATTTCTGATAAGTACTGAACATCTCTCTGTCAATGCAGATGTGTGTAGTAGCACATGTGTCGTACCACCACTCCTTAGGGTTACCTTCAACAACGTTGGCTTCTGTGACCACAGGGCACAGTTCAGCTTCAGTTAGGTTAGCCTGATTTTTCCCCATAGCTTTTCTACGACATTCCGAGGATTTATGTCCTATCTTGCCACAGTAGTTGCACTTCCCAGGAAATTTGTTTGCCGTAGGATGTTGAGCTTGTTTTTTGAAACTCGTGGGTGCTTGTTGAGCAAGCTTGTTTGGCCCAGATTTTTGGAATCTTGCCTTTCCCTTGCCTTTGTGCTTATGCTCAGCGACATTGGCATCATGAGTTTGAGTCAGCTCTTCTTTTTCACGTTTTAGTGACTCATTCTGAAGCCTAGAGATCAGATTTGCCAATGTCACGGGTTTTTGCTTGTAAGCAAGATAGTTCTTGAAATCTGCCCAGCTTGGAGGGAGCTTTTCAATGAAGCAGTTGACTGTGAACGTCTCACAAAGCTTCATCCCTTCTTCAGTGATCTCATGACAGATAAATTGTAGCTCGTGCTCTTGATCCATGATAGGTTTTGAATCAACCATCACGAATTTGAGAAATTTTCCAGTAGCAAATTTCCCAGAGCCTACATTGAAGGACTTGTATTTCTTTTCCAGAGCATCCCATAGATCTTTGGAAGATTCGGCCTCACTGTAAACACTGAACAGTTGATTCGCCAGCCGGTTTTGAATGTAACCTTTGCATAGGAAGTCTCCATGTTTCCATGCTTCAAGGCTAGCAATTGCCCTTGGATCGGTAGTGTCCGCGGGTAACACTGGTTTGACTTCAGTAAGATACCTAGCCAAATTTAGAGTAGTCAGAAAGAAGTGCATCTTTTGCTACCACTGCTTGAAGTTTGTTCCATCGAACAGATCAGGCTGTAGACAGTTGATGGTATTGGTGGTTACAGATGGAGTTGTTGTTGGTAGGGATCCAAGAGACTGGATCTCATTGGTTGCACCGGTTGCCCCATTGACTGTTTCCCCCATTGACTTGCGTGTTGTTTTCACCGATAGTCATGATTGAATCTGTTCACACAAATACAAACCTGAGTAAGTTTTGAGAACTCAATTCAATAAGCGATTAAGAGATTTTAAGTCGCTATACTATATACGTTCCCAGATTCGCGTATAGCATTCTTAAACGTTCAATAGTCGTTCCCAGAACTCGTCGTAAAGACGTTCTTAAACACTATTTTAGTAATAAATTTTGTTTTATGTAAACAGAAAACGAGATCGCGAACCTGTCAGAGACTGTCGCGTAAATCGTTTTCTAGAACGATTCGTCTAAGTTGATCAAAGCGTTTTGCAGAATAGCTAAAAAGCGTTCTCAAATCGTTTCAGATCTATTTTTAGAAACGTTTTATAAAACCGTTTTTCATAAATATTGTTCGCAATATTCAATCCGATTTAAGCGATAAGCAGAAAGCGGATTTATTGAGTTAAGATTGTAGGACCGCGAAAATCCTGATTGAAAATCACGAAATAAAAATCGTATAACGATAAGATGAGACGGAGAAAACATTTAAGAAATCGTATAACGATAAGATGAGACGGAGAAAACGTTTAAGAAATCGTTAAGGAAATAGACGAATTCGTGGAGTCGAGATTTGATCTCTTTCCTTAACTCAATAAATCGCCCGTAATGTGAGACGGTTTAGATGCGATTTTTGAATCCCAGGATACAACCACGATGAGACTGTTTCGCTGCACCCGAAAACAGAATCTACGAACTAACTACTACGCTATACTCTCGAGACTTACTTTAAGAGAAGACTTGGGTTTTTACTGAAACTGTTTGTTGTTTGCTTTTCAGTCTGAGAAACAATGAAGAGCCTAGGCGCCTATTTATATAGAAAGGTTCGCCTAGAATAAAGAATATTCATGGAATTATTCCGGTATATTCCTGGAATTATTCCGGCATATTCCTGGAATTATTCTTTTTACTCTTGCAATTCAAATGAAAGGCTTTTTAGTCTGAGCCCAAAAGACATTTGATCCATATTTCTCTTCACATTACAACATAAATTTACACAGCCCAATGGCTTATAAATTTGGGTTCCAACACTTATATTATAACCTGCCAAGAAAACATTAGCTCAAGCATTGCTTGCTTGCACTTGTATCCCCGCTGTTATAAGAGAAAAAAACAGAGTCAATATATAATCAGGACTAGTCCTCAAATTTTGGGAGATACTGACAATTTGTAAGAATTCTTAAAAGAAATTTTTTAAAGCAATTTCAAAAGCCTCTATATTCATGTATATTATCTTTTAAATTTTTGGGGGTCATGCATATGTTCAGAACCGGCTCTTCAGACAATGATCAGCAGTTGTGTAAGAATGCAAGCTTCTGCGTCTGCTTCATATTGATTTTAAGATTAGACAGATTGCAAATCTTGTTTATTAGTGCACTAGTATCTCAGTGTTGTTGAAATAACCAATGCTTCAGTTATGAAACAAACACCTCCACAACATCATGGTGGTGATTTTCATACAGCAGTCCCCAAGGTTTAGATAACTTAGACAATTCAGCAACAACCATAAGCTAAAGTCTAAAACATCAGCTTATCTCTTTGTGTTGATAAGTTTCACTAAAACAACAGCCTCCACTAATTCTCTCTATACATATACCAACAAGAAGAAGGGACGTTTCTCTCTTATCTTTTACCACTTCCACTCATCTCTCTTCAAAGATGAGAAAAGGAGACGACCGGTTTAAACCGGTTCACGAAGACGAACCGCTTTTTGTCACCGGGAGGAGAACCGGAAGAGTGATAGCGTACCGGGTTTTCTCAGCCTCGGTTTCCTTTTGCATCTGTTGGATTTGGCTCTACAGAGTGACCGCACCACCGGTAGAGACTGATGAAAACCGGACCGGTTTAGTTCGGTTCATCTGGTTGGTTATGCTAGTCACAGAGATTTGGTTCGGTTTATATTGGATAGTCCTACAGTCTCCTCGCTGGAACCCGGTTTGGCGGTTCACCTTCACCGATAGACTATCCCGGAGGTATTGTAACGACCTCCCTAGACTCGACGTTTTCGTCTGCACGGCGGATCCTGTGATAGAGCCGCCGTTGATGGTGGTCAACAGTCTTATCCGTCGCGGCTCTTGATTACCCACCGGAGAAACTAGCCGTGTATCTCTCCGACGACGGTGGTTCCGAGCTCACGTTTTACGCTCTTGCCGAGGCTGCTGAGTTTGCTAAAGTTTGGGTTCCGTATTGCAAGAGATTCAACGTGGAACCGAGATCCCCTGCTGCTTACTTGTCATGCAAGGCAAGTGGTTTTGACTCGACTGAAACAGAGGAAGTAGCTAGGTTGTATAAAGAAATGGCGGCGAGGATTGAAACGGCTGCGAGACTCGGACGAATACCAGATGACGCGCGTTTGAAGTACGGTGAGGGGTTCTCGCAATGGGACTCTGACGCTACTCGCAGAAACCATGGAACCATTCTTCAAGTAAGTAACGGTTATGTTCTGTAAGAAAACTGCAGCAACCTAGAAAACTGAATCTTTGTTTTTTTTTTTTTTGGTTTCACTCGTAAGATTTTGGTGGATGGAAGAAAAGAGAATACGTTAACAGTACCAACGTTGGTGTATTTATCGAGAGAGAAGAGGCCAGAGTATCATCATCACTTCAAGGCTGGAGCCATGAACGCATTGGTAATGTTTTACTTCTTAGACAAGAAATCTTCCTATCTCTTAATGGGACTCACGTTTTCATTCTCTGACAGATTAGGGTTTCTTCAAAGATCAGCTGTGGGAGAATCATACTAAACGTGGACTGTGATATGTACTCAAACAACTCAAAGTCAGCACGCGACGCGCTCTGCATCCTCCTTGATGATAAAGAGGGAAAAGAGATTGCTTTCGTACAGTTCCCTCAGTGTTTTGAGAACCTTACAAAGAATGATTTGTATGGAAGCATGATGCGAGTAGGATATGATGTAAGTTTGTATTTATAGATAGAGAGACACACAACAGTGTGAAGTATTAATTATTAGTTCTGTTTATAACTAAGCTTCAATGTTTTGGGATGTTTTTGAAGGTGGAGTTTAATGGATTGGATGGAAATGGTGGTCCATTATACATTGGAACTGGATGCTTTCACAGAAGAGATGTGATCTGCGGAAGAAAGTATGGAGAGGTAGAAGAAGAAGAAGAAGAAGAATCTGAGGATATTTCAGAGACTGAGATGATTAAGGCTCTCGTGAGCTGCACTTACGAAGAAAACTCTCAATGGGGAAAGGAGGTAAAAGCAATGATTTAATATTTACTTACTAAGAATGTTTCTTGACGCCGAAGTAAACAGGTTTTCGATATCTCATTCATTCAAAACTAAAGTAAAGGTTGTTTGTTTCAATGGGCAGATGGGTGTAAAATATGGTTGTCCAGTAGAGGATGTAATAACCGGTTTAGAGATCAAGTGCCGCGGATGGAAATCAGCATACTTGAACCCTAAAAAGAAAGCTTTTCTTGGGGTTGCGCCCACCAATTTGCATCAAATGCTTGTGCAGCAGAGGAGATGGTCGGAGGGTGACTTTCAGGTTCTGCTTTCAGAGCATAGTCCGGTTTGGTATGGCCAAGGAAAGATCGGTTTAGGATTGATACTTGGTTACTGTTGCTATTGCCTTTGGGCTCCAAGTTCAGTACCTGTGATTCTTTACTCTGTTTTGACTTCTCTCTGTCTCTTCAAAGGCATTCCTCTGTTTCCAATGGTAAAAATAATAGCTTTATTCTGTTTTTGTTAAATCTTGGGTAAAAACCGGTTCGCATTTACCAGGTCTGGAGCTCGTGGTTTATCCCGTTTGGATACGTGACTGTTGCAGCTAACACTTATAGCCTAGGCGAGTTCTTGTGGTGCGGAGGAACGTTACGTGGGTGGTGGAACGAGCAAAGGATGTGGCTTTATAGAAGAACAAGCTCGTTTCTTTTTGGGTTCATGGACACGATTCTGAAGAAGCTTGGGGTTTCTGAGTCTGCGTTTGTGATCACAGCGAAAGTAGCTGAAGAGGAAGCTGCAGAGAGGTACGAGAAAGAGGTGATGGAATTCGGAGTGGAGTCTCCGATGTTTCTCCTCCTTGGAACACTCGGGATGCTCCATCTTTTCTGCTTGGCCGCAGCGATTGTGAGACTGGTGATGACTTCTAGAGATGCTGGAGGAGATGTACAGACAATGGGTTTGCAGTTTGTGATAACAGGAGTTCTTGTGGTACTAAACTGGCCTTTATATGAAGGCATGCTGTTGAGGAAAGACAAAGGGAAGATGCCAATGACCGTGACAGTTAAATCGTTTGTCTTAGCTTTGTCTGCTTGCACTTGTATCGCATTTTTGTAAGGAAAGATAGAGCCAATGTAGTATTTCAATTAATGGGCAGCAATTGTGTATTTTTCTTAATTTTAATTATTTTGCCACTAAAATGAGAAAGGAAAATTACATAAAAAATCATGAAATTGGCAAAACTTTGCAATTTAAACATTGAGACTCAACTGCTAATACTTTAAACAATGAAACTTGTAACAGTAACATATTAAACATCGAACTAACTTACTTGTTGCACACGTCAAAATTGTGACCGATTACTGTTCATTACTAGGTAAAAAGTGATGACGTGGCAATTTATTTTTAAAAAATAATTATTTAAAACAAATAAAATTAGATAAAAATTGATATAAATTCAGGAAAATAAAGAAAATTCATAAAATTTAAAAATAAAGATAAATTTATAAATTCAAAAGTTCAGAATAAAAATTAAAAAATAGTCAAAAATTGATTAAAACTAAAAAATAGTAAAAAAGAAATGAAAAAGTGTAAAAATCAATAAAATTTAGAAAATGAGAAATTTATAAAAAAACTGGAAAACAAAGTTTCTAATATCAAAAAATTAAAAAAAAATTGAAAATGAAAATACTTGACCCAAACCTCTTTGATGTTTAGAGACATATAAACGTTCGGATGTTCGGGTTCAGATCCTTCAGATCATATATATTTGGATTCAAAACTTTTGCCAACTTCATGGGTTTTGCTAGTTTTGCCACTTTCATGGGTTTTTTTCCAGATTTTTTTCTTAATTTTTATCAATTTTTATATTTTATTTTTGTTGTTATTATTTTTTTGAATTTATAAATATATTTTTTTATCTTTATTAATTTGAATTTTCAGGATTTAATTTTTCCTGATTATATTAAATTTTCCTAATTTTTATCGATCTTTTGAATTTATTTTTTGAAGTTTTTTTTTGTTTTCCAAATTTTTATAATTTCCTATTTTATAAATTTTATCAGTTTTACACTTTTTAATCTCTATTTTTTGTTTTTATTATTTTTACTATATTGTTAGTTTTAATATTTTTTTACTATTTAATTTATTTTCTTTATAACACAATATAAAATATTTTTACATAAAGATAATTCTAAAATCATTGAAATTCGTTTTTTATTTATGTTTAATTGTATATTGAAATTTTTAATTATTCATTAAGGGTATAAACGATATTAACCAGTTTAACTTTTAACGTGAGAGTTCCGTTGCAAAAAATCACTTTGCAAATAATAGTTTTGATGTGACTGTATAGTCATTTAGAGTAAATAATTTTGGAGGAAAATTATGCTACTCTTGAGTTTAGCTGAATAATCACCAATCAAGTAACAAGTAATAGAGCATAACAAAGTAAAGAAAAATGTTAGTTTAAATAAATGTTTTATTGTATATTTAGGTTAGTTTGAATAAAAATTGATAGATAATTAAAGAAAAAGGTTTTAAAATTAGAATGTTGTAGGAAGAGAGAAAAACAATTATTAGTGTTTCTTNAAAATGTTAGTTTAAATAAATGTTTTATTGTATATTTAGGTTAGTTTGAATAAAAATTGATAGATAATTAAAGAAAAAGGTTTTAAAATTAGAATGTTGTAGGAAGAGAGAAAAACAATTATTAGTGTTTCTTAGTCCACGAGTAATGAATTATTTATATAAAAAACATAATATAAGAGTTTAGTTTGGAAAAAAAAAAGAGTTTAGTTTGGAGAAAGTACAACTTGAAGAATAAACAATCTTTCTAAACAAGTAAATCTAATATTTTTTAGAATAATACTAATTAATTTCAGAAGATTTATAACCATATAAAAAAATATACAAACCGAGTCCGAAAACAGTATAAATCCTGTATATTAGAGAAGTTTTTACTGATCATATTCTTAACCTTTTAAAATTAAATTACATGTGTTCTAGATTTTATATTTTAGCTCCGGATTACATTTGTTCTAGGTGTCATATTTTAACTCTCGATTGTAAAGTTATATCGCATGACTGCTGGCTTTTGATTCTAGAAAAGTGTTGTAGCTTTACTTTGTAAGTGCAAAGATTACACCACAATAAGATAGTATAGAAGGTAAACCAAGAGACAAAACACCAATAGCTTTATTAGAATCTTTTTTAAACAATCTTTACAAAATCTTGTTTATTCAGCTTTACACGTCTAGTGTTAACACCCTAACACACGTCACTGAAAGATTCCTAAGCTACTCACTTATGTCTCTTTGTCGTCAAGTACTTCAGCCTCTGCTTCAGCACGACCCAAGAACACCTTAAGAGCTTATCTCTCTCTATAAGATCAGCCTCTGTGTCTCTGTCTCTCTACAGACACCACCATAGCTATCGTATAGTTATTCTCCACGTTCCCGAAACCGTAGTCTCCCGAAACCGTAGTCTCCAAGGAACACAATATGGACATCTTCCATAACATTAAGTGCAACTTTCCTTTTCTTGGAATGCACTTATTCCTCTTTCCTTTAAGTCATAAACTTGCTCCTCAAGTTTATTCTTCTTGTCTTTTCTCCAAGATACACACTTGCTCTTCAAGTCTACACGACTCCAGTTCAGCATCTTGACTCCACATGATCTTCACCACTCAACACGACGTCTGCCTCAGCAACTACGTCAGCGACTACTTCTGAGCGGACATCTTACATCAACTTTTAACGTGAGAGTTCCGTTGCAAAAAATCACTTTGCAAATAATAGTATAGATGTGACTGTATAGTCATTTAGAGTAAATAATTTTGGAGGAAAATTATGTTACTCTTGAGTTTAGCTGAATAATCACCAATCAAGTAACAAGTAATAGAGCATAACAAAGTAAAGAAAAATGTTAGTTTAAATAAATGTTTTATTGTATATTTAGGTTAGTTTGAATAAAAATTGATAGATAATTAAAGAAAAAGGTTTTAAAATTAGAATGTTGTAGGAAGAGAGAAAAACAATTATTAGTGTTTCTTNGAAAAATGTTAGTTTAAATAAATGTTTTATTGTATATTTAGGTTAGTTTGAATAAAAATTGATAGATAATTAAAGAAAAAGGTTTTAAAATTAGAATGTTGTAGGAAGAGAGAAAAACAATTATTAGTGTTTCTTAGTCCACGAGTAATGAATTATTTATATAAAAAACATAATATAAGAGTTTAGTTTGGAAAAAAAAGAGAGTTTAGTTTGGAGAAAGTACAACTTGAAGAATAAACAATCTTTCTAAACAAGTAAATCTAATATTTTTTAGAATAATACTAATTAATTTCAGAAGATTTATAACCATATAAAAAAATATACAAACCGAGTCCGAAAACAGTATAAATCCTGTATATTAGAGAAGTTTTTAGTGATCATATTCTTAACCTTTTAAAATTAAATTACATTTGTTCTAGATTTTATATTTTAGCTCCGGATTACATTTGTTCTAGGTGTCATATTTTAACTCTCGATTGTAATGTTATATCGCATGACTGCTGGCTTTTGATTCTAGAAAAGTGTTGTAGCTTTACTTTGTAAGTGCAAAGATTACACCACAATAAGATAGTATAGAAGGTAAACCAAGAGACAAAACACCAATAGCTTTATTAGAATCTTTTTTAAACAATCTTTACAAAATATTGTTTATTCAGCTTTACACGTCTAGTGTTAACACCCTAACACACGTCACTGAAAGATTCCTAAGCTACTCACTTATGTCTCTTTGTCGTCAAGTACTTCAGCCTCTGCTTCAGCACGACCCAAGAACACCTTAAGAGCTTATCTCTCTCTATAAGATCAGCCTCTGTGTCTCTGTCTCTCTACAGAAACCACCATAGCTATCGTATAGTTATTCTCCACATTCCCGAAACCGTAGTCTCCCGAAACCGTAGTCTCCAAGGAACACAATATGGACATCTTCCATAACATTAAGTGCAACTTTCGTTTTCTTGGAATGCACTTATTCCTCTTTCCTTTAAGTCATAAACTTGCTCCTCAAGTTTATTCTTCTTGTCTTTTCTCCAAGATACACACTTGCTCTTCAAGTCTACACGACTCCAGCTCAGCATCTTGACTCCACATGATCTTCACCACTCAACACGACGTCTGCCTCAGCAACTACGTCAGCGACTACTTCTGAGCGGACATCTTACATCAACTTTTAACGTGAGAGTTCCGTTGCAAAAAATCACTTTGCAAATAATAGTATAGATGTGACTGTATAGTCATTTAGAGTAAATAATTTTGGAGGAAAATTATGTTACTCTTGAGTTTAGCTGAATAATCACCAATCAAGTAACAAGTAATAGAGTATAACAAAGTAAAGAAAAATGTTAGTTTAAATAAATGTTTTATTGTATATTTAGGTTAGTTTGAATAAAAATTGATAGATAATTAAAGAAAAAGGTTTTAAAATTAGAATGTTGTAGGAAGAGAGAAAAACAATTATTAGTGTTTCTTAGTCCACGAGTAATGAATTATTTATATAAAAAACATAATATAAGAGTTTAGNAAAATGTTAGTTTAAATAAATGTTTTATTGTATATTTAGGTTAGTTTGAATAAAAATTGATAGATAATTAAAGAAAAAGGTTTTAAAATTAGAATGTTGTAGGAAGAGAGAAAAACAATTATTAGTGTTTCTTAGTCCACGAGTAATGAATTATTTATATAAAAAACATAATATAAGAGTTTAGTTTGGAAAAAAAAAAAGAGTTTAGTTTGGAGAAAGTACAACTTGAAGAATAAACAATCTTTCTAAACAAGTAAATCTAATATTTTTTAGAATAATACTAATTAATTTCAGAAGATTTATAACCATATAAAAAAAATATACAAACCGAGTCCGAAAACAGTATAAATCCTGTATATTAGAGAAGTTTTTAGTGATCATATTCTTAACCTTTTAAAATTAAATTACATTTGTTCTAGATTTTATATTTTAGCTCCGGATTACATTTGTTCTAGGTGTCATATTTTAACTCTCGATTGTAATGTTATATCGCATGACTGCTGGCTTTTGATTCTAGAAAAGTGTTGTAGCTTTACTTTGTAAGTGCAAAGATTACACCACAATAAGATAGTATAGAAGGTAAACCAAGAGACAAAACACCATTAGCTTTATTAGAATCTTTTTTAAACAATCTTTACAAAATCTTGTTTATTCAGCTTTACACGTCTAGTGTTAACACCCTAACACACGTCACTGAAAGATTCCTAAGCTACTCACTTATGTCTCTTTGTCGTCAAGTACTTCAGCCTCTGGTTCAGCATGACCCAATAACACCTTAAGAGCTTATCTCTCTCTATAAGATCAGCCTCTGTGTCTCTGTCTCTCTACAAACACCACCATAGCTATCGTATAGTTATTCTCCACGTTCCCGAAACCGTAGTCTCCCGAAACCGTAGTCTCCAAGGAACACAATATGGACATCTTCCATAACATTAAGTGCAACTTTCCTTTTCTTGGAATGCACTTATTCCTCTTTCCTTTAAGTCATAAACTTGCTCCTCAAGTTTATTCTTCTTGTCTTTTCTCCAAGATACACACTTGCTCTTCAAGTCTACACGACTCCAGCTCAGCATCTTGACTCCACATGATCTTCACCACTCAACACGACGTCTGCCTCAGCAACTACGTCAGCGACTACTTCTGAGCGGACATCTTACATCAACATACCTTACCGTTTTTGGTGTATATTCAGTTAGTTTTTGGATAAAAATTACTAGACAACTAAAAAAAACTAGAAAACAAAATATTGTAAGAAGAGAAAAAAAAATTGGTGTGTCTTCATATGAATAATGAATTCTTTATATAAAAGAACACAATATGAGAATTTAGTTGGGAGACGAGCACAACTTAAAGAATAAATAATCTTGGTAAACAAATAAAATCTAACACTTTCTAGAATTAGAATTATTCTAGAATTGAAATCAGAATATTTATAACCCATATATTAAAAAGACAAAAAAAAATACAAAACCGAGTCGGAAACAGTGTAAATCCTGTAACCAAACAGAGACGAATTGGGGGTTATTTCCCATTCTCCGACCATTTCAAAACCCTACTTCAAACCCCTAAGGAGGGCTCTCTCGGGAAAAAGAACACGCCGAAATCGGGCGAAATGGCTTCTTCTATACCAATTCGATCTCGCCTTGTCCCAAGTTTACTTAAGCTTCGATCTCCCAACCCAAGGAGGATGCTGTTATCTACGGAAGCTTCTTCTTCTTCTTCATCGAAGGGCCAGCAGCAGTCTCTCTTTTCTGATTTTCCACCGCCAAATGAGCTTCCTCCTCCTCCACCTGAGGCAGCAGCCGCGGAGGCTCTAGGGAAGGAGCGGAAAGGTCTAAAGTATCTAAGTAACGGACTAATCTGGGCAATCACTGGTGCTACCGCTGCTGTTGGTTACACTAGCTATGGTATCATCTTCTACTTTATATTCTTGTTGACTTTGCTTTTTAATTAAATTTTCTCAATGTCTTTTCTTTCTTTTTGTGAATTAATTTGTATATCAAGACTCTTTTAGATCTCTCATAGAGATTCTTCTCGTTTATTTTAATTGGTGCAGCTTACACATTAGATGAGGTGAATGAAAAGACTAAGTCCTTCCGTGAATCAGCTATGAAGCCACCACCTGCTCTTGATTCTTCCGGCATTGATGTGAGTTGCAACATTCTCTTCTCTCTCAAATTTATTCTGACTAACCCTGCATCCTCTACTCTATTGAATCTCCTTCATTCAACTACTACTTTTGTAGAAACTGCCCATGTTTAGATTCTTTTTAAAACCTTCTCTGAATGAGATTACTCTTGTCTCGTTGCAGAAATATCAGGCAATGTTGTACTCTGCTGCCATCAAAGGTATAAATAATAATACCCCTTTTCATAACTAGTAATTAACCATAGCCTGACTTTGGTTTTTGCTTGAGTTATGTTCAGTCCCTGCCAGAGCCATTGAAATGTATCTGGAGCTTAGGGAACGTGTGGAGGAACACGTTAAAGTATGTCCCTCCTTTCACCCTTCCATCACACACTATATATTATTCTGCATCTTCTTCTTGTTTCTCTTATGATTGTTTTTTTCTTCTTAATTCCTTGCAGGGATTTACAGAACCTCTCTCAGAAAAGCTTCTTCCAGATTTGCATCCCTCAGAACAGAATGTAGTCTACACTCTCGTTCTTGATTTGAATGAGACTCTGCTTTACACTGACTGGAAGGTACTAAACACCCAACTGGCTACTCATTACCACCGTAGATGTGAATATTGATTGGCTAAAAGTGTGTCTATGTAACTGATTCTGTTTTCTTTAAGTAACAACTTGTTTATTCTTTTGTCTTTTTTATTAGCGAGAAAGAGGGTGGAGGACGTTCAAAAGACCAGGTGTGGATGCATTCTTGGAGCACCTTGGCAAATTCTATGAGATTGTCGTCTATTCTGACCAAATGGATATGGTACGTTTTATTTGTTCTTAGACTCTTTTTTACATCTTGTTGTAATATTGCGCCAATTTAACACTTTTGTTTCATTGCTTTTATTAGTATGTATATCCGGTCTGTGAGAAGTTAGACCCGAATGGCTACATTCGTTATAAGCTAGCAAGAGGCGCTACTAAATATGAGAACGGAAAGCACTACAGGGTACGTAAGCAGCCTATCTCTGTTGATAACATACTTCCTATCCTACCATCTTAACTAACTATTTTAAAAATTCCCTTGCTTCAGGATCTGTCTAAGCTGAACAGAGACCCCAAGAGGATTCTGTATGTTAGCGGGAATGCTTTTGAGACAAGCCTTCAGCCAGAGAATTGCGTGCCAATCAAGCCTTACAAACTCGAATCTGATGACACTGCGCTTGTCGATCTTATACCCTTCCTCGAATGTAAGTACGGTTCACTTCCAGTAATAAGTATCAATGTTGGTTGGTTGGCTAATCCTTATTGTTTTGTTTGGGTGTGCAGATGTTGCACGTAACGGTCCAGCGGATATCAGACCGGTTCTAGCCTCTTACGAGAGAAAAGATGTTGCCAAAGAGTTCCTTGAGAGATCCATAGAGTATCAAAAGTGAGTCTCTTTTCTTTACCCATCGTATGAGTGAAAAATCTCTTGCTAGTTGTGCAATAAGAAGACTGTCTTATGAATATGCAGGCGAATGCAAGGACAAAGACAAGGCCGACTCTGGAGACGTTGAAAGGATCTATAAAACATTTTATGTATAGTGAGAGACGATTATATCCTCATTGATGCATTACACCATAAAACAGGTAATAGGTAAACTTGGAACTAAAATCGCATCTCTCTCATAAAAAAAAAAAAAGAAGGCTGTGTTATGTTTTTACCAAATTTTTGCTCTTGTGACCTTTGTCTCGGCTGTAAAACTTTCTTTTTGTTTGAGTTAACAAATATATTTGTGTTCGATTCTGTTTTGGTTGATTACCAAATGAATAATGAATTTGAAAAAGTTAATTGGTTGAAACGGCTATTTGAATATATTTGTGATAAAAAATTAAATTACCTTTTATAGGACGCTACTAATAGCTGTCAGTTTCATTCATTGCGTGGCTTAAGGTGCAATGACTAGTACAGTTAGGTCAGTCAACCTCTCCACGGGTGTTTCTATATATGAAAATACATCTAAAGAGGGTCTAACTCTAACGACCAATTACGAAGACCCTTCACCTGTAATCCTTGTCAATACTGTAGCAGTAGTTGTCAAACTAACCAAGAACCACAAATTATTATTGTACTGCAAAACAGACTTTTCTCTATTGTACGACTCTTAAAACACGCCCACTCATATATTACATGACATAACTCCCAACTTTGAATCACAGACACACAAACCCACTCTCAACTTCCACATGTCTCGTCCTCTTGTCTTCTTCTTCTTCCTCTTTCTTGTCTTGGTCGTCCCTTGTCTCTCCCATGGAACCGGAGGAGACCACGACGACGATGAAGCTCCGCACGCCAAGAGTTCCGATCTCAAATCAAGATCATTAATCTCTGTCAAAATAGCATGTCTTGTCATCATCTTCGTGCTCACGTTCATCAGCGGCGTATCTCCCTATTTCTTGAAATGGAGCCAAGGGTTTTTGGTCCTGGGAACACAGTTCGCAGGAGGAGTGTTTCTCGCGACGGCCCTGATGCATTTCTTGTCAGATGCCGACGAGACGTTTAGGGATTTGCTGACGGCGGAAGGAGAGTCGGAGCCGTCTCCGGCTTACCCATTCGCTTATATGCTGGCTTGTGCTGGTTATATGCTGACCATGTTAGCTGATTCCGTCATCGCTCATGTCTACTCCAAGAACCAATCTTCACCATCCAAAGACGTGGAGCTTCAAGGTACCAAAGAAGATTCTGTTTTTCTTTTCAAATCTCAATCAAGAATGATGCTGAAAGTTTGGTTCCTTTTTTTTTCCAGGAGAAGAGAGATCTAACGTGGAGTCTTCGATAGGAGATAGCATTTTACTGATCGTAGCTCTCTGTTTCCACTCTGTATTCGAAGGCATAGCAATAGGGATCTCAGAGAGTAAAGCAGATGCATGGAGAGCTCTTTGGACAATAACACTCCACAAGATATTCGCAGCGATAGCCATGGGGATAGCTCTTCTACGTATGATCCCTGACCGTCCTTTGTTCTCCTCCATCATGTATTCTTTCGCGTTCGCCATCTCGAGCCCAATAGGTGTTGGGATAGGGATAGTGATCGACGCAACGACGCAAGGGACGGTGGCGGATTGGATATTCGCAGTGTCGATGAGCTTGGCGTGTGGGGTGTTCGTTTACGTGTCAGTGAATCATTTGCTGGCGAAAGGGTATATTCCGAAAGGAAAGGTGCAAGTGGATGAGCCTAGGTTTAAGTTTTTGGCTGTTTTGTTTGGAGTTGTTGTCATCGCCATTGTTATGATATGGGACACTTGAATTGTACTCAAGCTACAACAGATTTAGAATTATAAATTGGGTTTTTTTTCTAAAAAAAAATTGTGAGAAAACAAAAGGTTATTTTATACTGTGCCTCTGTTTCCTTTGTGGCAAAACAAAAGGTTATAGATACTGCATTTGTCATAAAGAATGTCATTCTAGCTATCGAAAAAAAAAATGTCATTCTAGCTCTTTTCTTTTAATCTCAAAAAAGGATGCCAATCTACATTTTCAATGTAGATTTTTATATTATATTTTTTAATTTTTTAATTTTTTAATTTTTTTTTTTTTTGTCGACCTAACGTTTCATTGATAAGTCCAATGGGCAATGTATTACAAGCAGACAAACCCAAGATACATTTTTATTTAGCCCTTAACGAAAATCAAAACAACAAGATAAGGCTTGTCGCATGTGTGACACGTTGCACCAGGTGGCTTCGTTTTGTGCTGAAACGAGGTGAGAGAAAGCGTCGCCGGAGCTCTGCCGGACACAACGTCGGACTCCGTTCCCGTTTCGTTTGAGCTGCTTGTATGCTCCTCTTTCTTCTTGTCACCATCGATTCTTCCAGAGATCTTCATCACTTGTTAGATATCTGTTCCAAGATAAGCTTCAGAGAAGAATGATATCGCGTGCGAACGCACACCAATTAACCTAATGTGCACACTACCACAATCGAATGGTATGTCGATGTAACACTTAAGGATCGAATCCACAGAGACCAAATATTACACTTTATTTTTATAGGATCAAATTCAAGCTAAAACGATAAGTTTTATAAAGAAGCAAATCGTGAGAAACAAGTAATTAAATTGGGTTTTA